TCGTTATCAGTATAAAAGACACCTGTCCACAACCTCAAACAGTCACACTCCAAACTCCACTATGGCCAAGACCAAAGAGCTGTCAAAGGACACCAGAAACAAAATTGTAGACCTGCACCAGGCTGGGAAGACTGAATCTGCAATAGGTAAGCAGCTTGGTGTGAAGAAATCAACTGTGGGAGCAATTATTAGAAAATGGAAGACATACAAGACCACTGATAATCTCCCTCGATCTGGGGCTCCACGCAAGATCTCACCCCGTGGGGTCAAAATGATCACAAGAACGGTGAACAAAAATCCCAGAAACACACGGGGGGACCTAGTCAATGACCTGCAGAGAGCTGGGACCAAAGTAACAAAGGCTACCATCAGTAACACACTACGCCGCCAGGGCCACGAATCCTGCAGTGCCAGACGTGTCCCCCTGCTTAAGCCAGTACATTTCCAGGCCCGTCTGAAGTTTGCTAGAGAGCATTTAGATGATCCAGAAGAGGATTGGGAGAATGTCATATGGTCAGATGAAACCAAAATAGAACTTTTTGGTAAAAACTCAACTAGACGTGTTTGGAGGAGAAAGAATGCTGAGTTGCATCCAAAGAACACCATACCTACTGTGAAACATGGGGGTGGAAACATCATGCTTTGGGGCTGTTTTTCTGCAAAGGGACCAGGACGACTGATCCGTGTAAAGGAAAGAATGAATGGGGCCATGTATCGTGAGATTTTGAGTGACAACCTCCTTCCATCAGCAAGGGCATTGAAGATGAAACGTGGCTGGGTCTTTCAGCATGACAATGATCCTAAACACACCGCCCGGGCAACGAAGGAGTGGCTTCGTAAGAAGCATTTCAAGGTCCTGGAGTGGCCTAGCCAGTCTCCAGATCTCAACCCCATAGAAAATCTTTGGAGGGAGTTGAAAGTCTGTGTTGCCCAGCGACAGCCCCAAAACATCACTGCTCTAGAGGAGATCTGCATGGAGGAATGGGCCAAAATACCAGCAACAGTGTGTGAAAACCTTGTGAAGACTTACAGAAAACGTTTGACCTCTGTCATTGCCAACAAAGGGTATATAACAAAGTATTGAGATTAACTTTTGTTATTGACCAAATACTTATGTTCCACCATGATTTGCAAATAAATTCTTTAAAAATCAGACAATGTGATTTTCTGGCTTTTTTTTCACATATATATATATATATATACCTAGGATGAAAATTACAGGCCTCTCTCATCTTTTTAAGTGGGAGAACTTGCACAATTGGTGGCTGACTAAATACTTTTTAGCCCCACTGTACTTCAGAGATGAATATCGTAGTTTTTACTCACAGTATTAGAATATGTTATCAAACTGTACATTAAGTGGTACAGATTAGTTTCAACTGGACCAGATACATCAGTCAAATACTATGTACTGCACAAAAAGTTGTGGTCCAAAGTCCTGGACTACATTTCCCACAATGCAACTCAACTGTAAAGCATCTTAAGCCTGGTTGAGGATACCCTCTTTCCAATTCCACATGCACAGTTGTGTAACTGTCTTTCAGTCTGTGGACTGTCTGATCAAATAGTGACTATTGTACTGTATTGAATTAAAATAACCATCATCACCATGTCATCATCAGGGTTAGTTTGCACACAGATTCATTTAAACCCAAGCAAATATTGGTGTGTTATTGCTCTTCATATTGAAAATGTGTGCCTGTCAGTGATTTGCAACTCCACAGAAAATACTCTTCTGACATTAATGATTGTTTTTCACGAAGATAATCTAGTCAACACTTTTCTATTTTCCTAGTAATCACCATGCTCATTAACAGTGATCAGACGTAGATGTGATGTCACCTTAAGCCCAACGTATATATCTGTTAACTCTTCATCTTGCTTTTTAGTAACTTAACGCTAACACTAACTGAATCAAACTAGGCCAACAGCTGACAGAGGCAGTTTCCACTGTTCATAGTCCAATCCTCATAAAACAATAACACCAAATAGAATGGAGCTGTGATACACTGAAGCCAACATAACCAACATTCAGTTCACAGAGAAAGGCAAAAAGGCACAGAAAACACCAGCTGAAAGTAGAGTCTCTGTGTGTTCGGAAACCTGAAGCAGACCCTAAGATCGGTTTAGTATAAATGAACTGAATGCTTGAAAATATTTGAGCAGAGATCTGATGTAAAGGGTTAAGAAGGCAGCCTACCTGTTGGGGCTGAACTGGAAGCAGAGAGAGAGACAGGTAGAGAAGGTGGAAGGAGAGATGTGCTGCTGCTTCAAATTACACTCAGAGGGTTGAAGTCCAAGACCAGAATGCCTGAGGGTGTGTGTGTGTGTGTGTGTGTGTGTGTGTGTGTGTGTGTGTGTGTGTGTGTGTGTGTGTGTGTGTGT